GAAAAAAAAAAAAAAAAAAAAAAAAACTACAACATTCAACAGGTTAAATACATTGGAAAGAGCATGTTTATTTAGCAACAATAAAACAGGCCGCCTTCTGTGAAATGCTTAGCAAAATATTTCTCAGCTTAGTCACCATGTTGTTTACCATCGATAACCACTTTTACAATACCCATCAATCAGATACAATTGTTAAAAAAAAAGTAAGTGCTGTAAACTAAAGCAACATCCTGTCTTTCAACAGAGTAAAACCTGCATAGTGCACCTCTTTCTTGTATATAGCAAACACATATCTACTCAAACCACTGAAAAGGAAAGGTGTAAATGCTTGTTTGAATGCTCTTGAGTATATACTGCAGCCATTTTAGAAGAATTCAAAGTGAGTTATCCATTGAGATCGAACTGTGTTTGATGAATCCGTGATATAAAGATAGTGGCATAAGATCCATCTCTTTATAAATAATTGTTTACAATATAAAAGTCATTGCTCGTAGCTTGAATGTAACAGGGAATGATCTTTGATTCTCTATACAACTTTACAACATGATTTAGCAGCTTTGCGTCCAAAATTATTGAATCATCAACAATATGCAGACAATAAAAACAATCAATCAAAGAATGGATGTAATAGCTAGCTTACTCTTTTTTTTTTCAGGATAGATTAGCATGTCACGTTATTGGGTGATTTCAAAGACAAAAAAAACTAAAACAAGCAAACTAAAAGAACACACAAATTGTTCAGTAACAGAAAGCTACATTATTTCCCTTTGAAAAAGTAATATGATGCTAAACGTTAGACTATGCAAGAAACAAATAATGGATTATATTTACTTTTTTTTATTTATTTTACTGTTTTCGATGCATATATCTGTTTTTGAAGGCAGAAATAATTTCCCTAAGATTATAAAATAACCATGATTAATTCTTATGTGACAGCCTCTTACAACACCGACGGAAAATGAAAAGTTGCGATTTTCTAGTCCGATATGGCTAGGAACTATACTCCCATTCCGGCATAATAATCAAGGAACTTTGCTTCCGTACCATGGGTGCAAGCAGGCGCAATGATATTACGCAGCGCCTGAAAATAGGGTAACTTCCGTCAACATAACCAACATGACCACCTGCTTGCACAGGGAGCGTGCTGCGGACTATTTTCAGGCGCTGCGTAATATCATTGCGCCTGCTTAAGCCGATTTGTCTAGGAACTATACTCTCATTCCGGCGTAATAAGTTAGCCTATTTTCAGGTTCTGCGTAATATCATTGCGCCTGCTGCACCCATGGTACGGCAACAAAGTTCCTTGATTATTATGCCGGAATGGGAGTCGCACAAAATTGCAACTTTTCATTTTCCATCGGTCTCAGTACACGATGTAACTACAGAAGAGTCAAGTTTTAAATAGGAAAAATATAGAAACCCTTCGGTCATTTTTGAGCGAGATGCCAACGGTCTAATCAGATTCAATGATCTATGCTAAGCTAAGCTAAAAGTGCTACCGCCAGACCCGGAGATCGGCTGAATGGATTCGAAAACGGTAAAACTCAACTGTTTAACTCTAGGGGAGTTGGAAAATGAGCCTATTTTCAAAAATAGTGGAGTGTTCTTTTAAGTGTTGTCCTGTGATGTGAGCAGAGAGAGACACTGACCTGTAGGAGGTGCAGGTGATCTTCAGTGTGTGAGAGCTGCTCCAGCTCAGTGTTTCTCCTCTCTAGTTCAGTGATTTCCTGCTCCAGCTCTTTAATCATCTCTTCAGCCTGTGTTTCTGCTGCTGTCTGCTTCTGCTCCATCACCTCCAGCAGCTCAGACTGACATCTCTCAATGAAGTGGATCAAATCAGTAAACAGCTGAACTTTATTTGCTTTATTTCTCTCATTGGTGCTCTAGTTATATTGAGAAGAATAATAGACACTGAATTCAAATCAGATTCCAAACCATTCTTTCCACCACCTCTATACAGTAGATAGTTGTTTTAAAAAATCTGTTGATTTTTCACTAACAACACACCTTGTTGGACTTTGCTAAGTTTTTTATCTCCTTAATCTTATTACATCTGTCCTGGATCATCACCTTTATTTCTGCCTGTGTCTTTTCCAGTTGAATCTGAGGACAGAAACAATATTTTTTTTAAAGTAAATGCATCAAGTGTAAACACGCATAGAACAGTTCTCTTACAATAGGAAAGTAGGAAAGTATTGTTTGCAGTGAGTTTGTTAGATTTCATCAATTCAATTTACTTTACAATACTTTCTTGAAATCATATGTTGGCAATTCAATTTCTAGTTGTTTTTAGATGTTTTTCAAAATTACAGTAAAATGAAAATTTTAAAGGAATAGATCACCCCAACCTTAAAAAAGTTCATCATTTACACCTGCACTTGTGCAGCTGTGTACGTGTGTATCATTTTGTAAAGAAAAAGCCAAAATGTAAATTATTAACTGATGTTTTTACCTGTAGCTTTAATGTGCAGTTTTTGTAGTTTATTTTAGTGCTTTGTGTCAGTAAAAAATATCGGCCTGTAGCTTAAATTGTGATCTGTTTGTCTCACAAGCTATTGAATTGCTTTAGAAAGAATTCTAAAATGTGAGTCATATGGACATATTGACTTTTGTGGAATGAGAAAGAGCTGCTCTTTGTTTCACAGAAGTTGTTAGGAGATAAGTAAATTCATTTTGTGTGAACAGTTCGGTTAAGTATAATTGAATAGACATACTAAAATATCTTCTAATCGCTCATATATTTTGTCTTACCCTCTTGTGTCCACTTTCTTCTTCAATAGGAACAGCGTTGTGAGTCTTATGTTCTGTTTCAGTGCAAAACAGACACAGACAGGTCTGATCGTCTCTGCAGAACATCTCCAGTGGTTTATCATGTTTCTCGCAGATATAATCTCCCAGGTTGTCCACGGGGTCGATCAGTTTGTGCCTTACGAGCCTTGGTGCAGTTTTGTGATTGGTCAGGTGAGTCTCACAGAAAGATGTTACACACTGCAAACAAGACTTTACTGCCCTTAGCTTGTTTTCAGAGCAGACATCACATAAAATTTGAGGAAAGGTTTTTGTTTGGTGTTGGAGTTTCTTTGGCTGTTGATGCACCTTGTAACGGTCAACAACCTTTTGAAATGCTACATTTATTTTCAATTCTGGCTTACTATCAAATCCTTCCTTACAGAGAGGGCAACGATAGAGCTGTCCAGTCTCCCAGCATGCCTCAATACAAACATTGCAGAAGTTGTGTCCACATGAAGTGGTGACTGGGTCAGTGAGCACCTCCAGACATATATGGCACTGGAGCAGCTCACCAGAGAGTGATGAACTGAAGGAAGTCATGACTGTAAGTGGAGAAACAGGGACACCATGAAGCTCTGCGTAGAAGTGATCAAAGGTCGAAATTATATTAGTCTATATTTTATAGCGTGGTGCTGTGACTGTTCTATACAAGATTTATATAGTCTAGTCTTTTTAAGTATCGTTCTTAAGTTAATTGCTTTACTGTACATTGCTTTACATTTTTAGTCTATGAAATCTCACCTGTCTGTTAGTGTTGTCTCTGGCTCAGGAGAAAAATACAGTACAAAGAAGATCAGACCAGGTTTTATTGTGAGGTTAAATAGGTTTCAGTTTCACTTCACTATAAAGTATTGCATAATACTGATGGCACACCTTTTTCTTTTGGCAAGTTTTGTTATTCTAATAATAAGGCTAAGGTTGTCGCTCTTTGAGAATGGTTTGAGACTGGACCAGTAATGTTTTTTTTTTCTTTTATTGTTATAGTTGTCATTTTGTGAACATCATTAGACAATATGACAGGATAACCATGCTTGGTGTTAAACTATGTTTCATTCTAAGTGCATTCAAATAAAAGGACTCCTTAAAGGAAAAAAAAATGTGAAGCTTAAATAAATAAAAAGACTTTTAAACCTTGTTGGCGTTTATGACAGATGCAGGATGTAGGAGGAGTTACTGTACAGTAGTAGCTCTTGACTGTTTAGGCTAAATTGCCCCACCCCAGTTAAGTTTCGTTTCTTTAAAGGTGTGTGCAAATTTCCATTTACTGAAATTGTCCTCTATGTTTACATTCTAATGTGGAATCAATGTTAATCTAGAAACAAAATTTGCAGATATAATGAGATCATGACAAAACAAGACAGGAAAAAATAATTAATTTAAATGCCCATCAGTGCTATGTATTTTGAGGTGTCCTCATGTTCCAGAATTGCAGGACGATAATCATGGCAGAATCATCAGTTACTAGTTTACTATCGGTAAAACCTGAAAAAAATGAATGCTCAATCAATGTTTCATTGTTTTAGAAATAATGGATTCACAATGAGGAATGTTAATATACTCAAATTCAATTGTTTAAATTGGAGCCACACATTCTTAATAAAGTCATAAAGTAGACTATGTAAATTATGAGGATGGTTTTGTTTTATTTGATCATTTTAGGTTTGAATCTTATTCTTAGAAGTATCATGGGAAAGGGTCTCTCATCCCAGTCTCTGGTCTAAACCTTTTCCAATTTCCATACATCTGTACAGTGTTGTACAATGCCAGTTGTTCTTAAATCTTCCTTACTGTTTTGTCAGAGACGTAGACAGCAGCAGGAGTGAACTTCCCAAAACTTGTGAGTCACGGTTGCTTTAACAGGTGCTGACCAAAAGTCTCCTGTCCCTTTAAGAGGAGCTGCAGTCTGTGATTGAAAGGGCAGCGTGTATATGAGTCAGGGGCTTTAGAGCCAGCTGTGTGTGAGTGTGTGCAGGCTGCCAGGAAGTGGGGCAGCAACCACACCAGCTACAGTCCCATCAGACTACTGTCCTATGCGCAGTCTGTGGCAGAGCTTTTCTCTTTTTCTCTCTACCTCTCTTCTTTCTGTTATCTCTTTTCATTTTCTGTTCTTGGAGTGAAAACCAGACTGATTCTTTGGGACTGATTTGGGATCCGGAGACACCCCTAGTGGTCCATCTCTGTCTGGGACCACAGTGCCCTGTATTGCGACTTACAAGTGTTACTAGCTGCGGATTCTGCCATAACCACTGTCCACCCATGCTGCGTGTGTTTATTCTGTGCGCCCAGAATGTGCTGACGCATGATGAGGACATTAGCGATGCCTACTGCACTGTCACTTATGAAGGTAAGGGCCAGACCAGGGTGAACGAGTAAGGAGTTTTTTTATGTAGAATATGCTATAGAGAGTTTGCTAGATTGCCATTTTCTTTTCTGCACAGTCACATTCATTCTCTTCTCTCACTGTCTTTTTGTCAGTCTTCCTACTGTCCACATTCCATCAAGCGGGCTATTATTGGAAAAGCAGTTGCAGTCTCTCTCTCTTGTGTATTTTTATGGGTGTCCTGTTGCACTTGGAATATGTGTGTGTCAAAGTGTGCTACTGATCTGCTCTGCGTTTCTAAGAGATGCTATGTCATCACAGTTTGGTTCAATGTGGGGCTCCTGTTTGCTTTACATTCAAAGCTTTTAGGGGCCCATAATTCATGTGAGATGGATAGGAAGGGCTCCTCTGTGTCAACCAGGTATTCTGTTGTTTTTTTGTTTTTTTTTTGCCTGAGAAACCATGCATAATAATTATTAAATATAATTTATAAAAATATAAGACTGCATCACATGAATAAATTACATATAAATATATTAAAATAGAAAACAATTATTTTAAATTGTAATTATATTACTGTTTTTACTGTATTTTTGAACAAATAAATGCAGCCTTGGTGAGCATAAGAGACTTCTTTCAAAAATATTTAAAAAATCTCACCAACCCCAAATTTTTGAATGGTAGTATGTCTGATCCTGATTGCTCAAACAGCTGGCTGTTTTAATATTTTCTCGTATTCAAGTACTTGAGTACATTGACCTGAATTTTGCTCAATGTTTATCTCCCCCCACCAACAGATATGCATAGGAGCTTGGTCACCCTCAGGGTTGAAACCCTCTGTGTTTCTTGGGGAATGCAGTTTGTTTGCTCAATAGAGGGCTTGTTGTTGCTGAATCATGAGGCAATCATATACCAGCACTCAGACGCAAGCAAAAAAAGTGCTACAGTAAATCATGATATGAGATCAATACAATAGAGCATTACCTTCCATTACATCCATTCAGTGGTGCATTTTAGAGTAACAAACTATTATGAGAGCATAGTCTTGTGTTCTCAGTTTTATTGGGTTGCTTTGTACATCGTTTTGTTGCTGTGCCTTTTATTGCTGAGGCTTTGGAAGATGTAACAAAAAAGGACACTGCAAATCACAATAAACCGACATTTCTTTACCTAAAAATACTTAATTTAAATACAGTAATTCAGATATTAATGACCCAAGTTTTTACTAAATCTCCTGTAAATCATTAAAATAGGCATCTTATACAGCCAAGTGCTAAAAATTCAGTGTAAAGCCACAATGCTGGATAATAGCCTGACTAAATTTGGCATGCTCTGACCCATCTCAGTCCCTAGTATCAAAGTATACAGTTGTAATTGCTGTGTAAATGGATTCATACCACCTCTGAACAGCAATAAACAGTTTGTGGACAAACACCTGAATGCCTCTTCAGAAGCACTTCTGTGTTTCACCTTTGCAGTGTAAATTTGGCATCATCTCATTTCAATCCATATCAGAATTTTATTTTTTTTTTTACGACAGGATGATGCAAGCTCAAAGGTGAAGTGTACAGGCTAGCATCAGCAAACTGTATTGCAAATATAAGGCCTCACTTATGTGAACATTCCCGCCATCTGCCATTGGTGGACAAACTGAAGAGTCTCGCCCCAAACTCATACCATTGGTTGAACCACAGTTGCTGTGTCAGGCTGATCAGGAGGCTCTTAAAGCATAAAATCAAAACAAAACTTTAGAAGTCAGGGAGAAATCTGACCAAGTCAAGGCAGTAGGTGGTGCTCCTCGCTTGGAAATGTCAGTTAACAAGAAACAAGCCTACACAGAGACCTCAGAGACTCTTGTAGTACGGTATACTAACATAATAAAATAACTCTGTGTGGTAACTAATGTTTGTAAGTTCTAAATGAGTGGATTTTGATGTTGGCAATTACAGGTGCCATTAAATCCCAAAATATCTTTTGCTTACACTAATTGTTACAAGATGTTGTTCTCGCAAATCCACTGCATTATACAAGTTTTTGTAAAACGTAAAGAGGTTTTATATTCATTAATGTTTTATTTTCTAATTAAAAGACTGTAGAGAAAAGATGGATGAGGAGAGAGAAGAACAAGCTGCAGGAAATGTTTAAATTTCCTCTGGAGTTATGGGCTGGGTCACTGGAGAGGAAAGTGTGGTCCACACTAAGTTTGGCTCCGTAAGTTCCTACATGACAGTCTCTGTGTACGCATGTAAGGGAAGCACATTTATCAATTCGGACGCCTTATCAAGGACGCAAACAGAAATTGATTTTCAAGATTGTGGTTGGTTTATACAACCCTGATACATTCCATTCTGGACGCCACACTCATCTTCAGCTTTGGACCTAAAGATCACAAGACACGTTTATCTTCAGAGCAACCTTTGTGAAGGTCCTGTCAGGATCTGTCTCTCTTTTGTGGTCTGATGGTGGTTTGCCCTGCTTCTTGTTGGAGAGTTTGGGCATCAAGGCAGCATGTTGAGGTGTTTGCTACAGAGGGCGACCAATCTGAGAAATGTAGAAAAAGGGGAGAGGCATAGTGACCCGCTTGCTAGCATCACTTTCAGAGGTAAGAGGTGACATCAAAAACGTGATTGTCTATCCAGCTGAGGGCATGAAAAAGTAGGATCAGATGCAGATTTCAGTCTTTGAGACTGTTGGGTAGATGAGTGCTAATTATGCATAATTCTTATAGCAAACCAGTATAGTAAAAATGCATTTGTTTACTAACAATAATAGTATTTTATGTAAAGTAATTTCACTTTCGAGTTAGAGGGACGTTTTTGACCGGTCAGTCTGACGGTGATTGTTGAAAGGCATAGAAAGAGCAGATTTCTGCCAAGTGATATGTTTTGATAACTTTACTCTAGGACGGTGGACCATTACAGCTAATAGCAGAGCGATCATATCACTGCAAGATGCTACATAATCTAGATTTTTGAATAGATTTGAGCTTGATTCATTATTCTTATTAGTTTTTGCATTGAATGAATGAATGTGACGGACACTAGTTTTAGACTACCTCGTAAACTGAGTGGCAGTTCCTCTCATTGTTCCATGTATCCTGTTGCAGCGCAGGGATGTACAGGAACATGCGTTTGTGAGCATGTGGGATTGATGAGCTTGATGTGTTTTTGTATGCTGAGTTTCCATGGCAACAAAATACTTTTCTTCCTTTAATCATCCTATTTGATTGTTCAAATGATCACAAAACAAGAACACATATTATTAAGATATAATTACTTTTAAGCTATTAAATATTAAGTTAATAAGGATGTAGATTGATTTGATGACTTCATTTTGCAGGATGCTCAGAGAAACAATGCAGTTCCTGCCTTGTGTTATTTAGCAGATCACTAGTGATCATTATCTTGGCAAACCGCTTTGGAAAATATCAAGGAGAACAGAGATTTCTAAATCTTAATTGGATACTTTTTGTGAC